GGGGGGGGGGGGTCCTTATTTGTATGTCTGCGTACAAAAAAATAATATTATTATTAAGTGAATTGTTTAATTAATATAAGGTAAATTATTTATTGATTTTAACGTGCTAAATAATAGGACTTTACATAGTTGTTCAATAAGGAAAGTTCAAAATACAAAGTTTTAGTTTATTTTAAACTCTTAAATATTTAAAAATAATTAAATGACAATTCCCAAATATTAGGAAAATAACTAGTATTAGTACCTGTACGGATGCGTGGACACTAATCATGTTAAATATTTAAGTTATTTGGATTGTACGTAAATAATCTTAAAATTTACACTTTCTCAGTAAATATAGATAATCATTGGATATTAACTACATGAAAAAAATTAGTCATTTCTTCTATTTTTCTTTTTTGTTAACATTCTTGCCGGTGTCATTGGATCCTAAAAATAGTCAGGAAGCAAAATAATAACTCATATTTATGGCAAAACAATCAAATATTGAGACAATGAATGACTCTTTTGATAAGACTCAACTCTTTTACTACTACTTGAACTCTTATTTGATGTGTTGATATCTCTTAAAAAATATTTCTTTCTTAAAATTTCAGTTTCTAAAACATTATTTTTCAATAATAATGTAATTAAAAATATTATTCTTAATTCAAAACTCATTTTAGTTGGTTATCTAAAAATATTAAAAATTCTTTAGCTAGTGAATTTTTTTTACTCCATTTTGATATTTGACATTAACTATGTTAAATATCTGAGTTATTTAAATTATATGTAAATAACCTTAACATTTAAACCTTCTAAATAATTATAGATAATCGTCAGATATTAATTAAGAAACACTACATGAAAAAAGATTAACATTTACTAAGGCGAACGATTATAGATTAAAGGACTATACCAACATATTAGAAAAATAACTTAAATTACTATTTTATTCAGTATGAAATTAATTTTCAAAGACGAACGACAGTTCGCTAAAGGCGTTCGTGCTTTTAATATAGTATATGTATTAATGAGTTTGCATTTTTTTAGATAAAAAATCGACTCAAATTCTACCACAAACGTTCCTGAAAATAGTAAGCCGGTGTGAAGTTTTATGTTAAAGCAGCATTTGTTACTTCCATGTTGAAATATTACACTTTAGTATGAAAATGCTTTTTCAAAAAGCATAATTTTGTAGTAGTAAATGATAGTGCATCGAGATATGTTTTTTCCATGGCATCGACGTATGTTTACTAATAAAAAGTGCATCAAAATATGTTTGCTTTTTTATATATGAAAGTCTAGAAATAGTTGTAGGGATTTAGAGTTAATTTAATTTAAAAGCCTACCAAAATTAAATCCAGACACAAAGAAACCAAAACCAAAATATAACCACACATTTAAATGAAGCCCCCATTAAATATATAAAAAAATACAACACTATTAACTGCACCAAACTCTAAAAATAGATAAAAAGTAGCAGAAATTCCACCATATAAGTTGCGCCAAATAGACAAAAATAACAAAAATGTGAGTACATATGAAATCCGTTTTCTTGCAATATGATGGAGTCCAAAAATTAGGGGTGTGCATTCGAATCGGTTTATCGATATTGGTTTACCGATTTATCGATTTCGATTTCGAATTCGAAATTTTCCTTATCGAGTTGTCGATTTCGATTTCGATTTTGTTCTTTTCGGTTATCGGTTTATCGATAAACCGATAAGATATACTAAAAAGACAAATATATCCTTATTCTATAATATCATTTCCTTTACCTTAAGTCCTTAACCCTATTATTTCCTGTCACGACCTCGAATACCGGTCGTGATGGTGCCTATCACATTACTAGGCAAGCCAACCCAAACATTAATCACAACCCTTTTCTTTTACAAAAAAAATATATTTTTTTCTAACATGGGGTTTGAATAACAATTTTCATAAGGAGTGTTTAAAACAACCAAAATGTGCGGAAATCAATAAAACATAAGACAACACAGCCCAAACATCTTGTGTCACAAGTCTAGAGCCTCTAAATACACAAGCGACTGTCTAATACATCATAAGTCTAAAAATGCAAAAAAGAACAAGGTAGGAAGGAGGAAAGCAGGGCTGCGGACGCCATGCAACTGCCTTGCAATCTCCGACAAACTCTGGATAAGCTGAGGACTCTCACTTTGTTGCTCGGGCACCTAGATCTGCACACATGGTGCAAGGAGTAATGTGAGTACGCCAACTCAGTAAGTAACTAAAGTAAATAAGGTCTGAAAGCAGTGACGAGCAGTTAAAAATTATATAAAGGAATAAATAAAAGAATAACAGATCAAACTCCACAGTTTAAAACCAGTTTCGTCATAAAATCTTCAGTTTTAGTTGGAATACTTGAAATCATATACTTAGCACTTTTTCAAAAGGGGATTATTTTAAAAGAGGAGCGAAGTCAGTGAAAATATCATAAATGGGCCCCTCGGCAAGGTATCACTCAAGATATGGCCTCTCGGGCTGCCTCTCAGTCACTCGTGACCCAACGCTCGTCACTCAGTACTCACACTCAGCACTCAAGCTCTTTAATATATTGTAACAATAATAATCATAGTAACCGCTACGGCGTGCAGCTCGATCCATAATTTATAGTCGACTACGCTCACTAGGGGTGTACAGACTCCGGAGGGGCTCCTACAACCCAAGCGTCATATCGTTGCGGTGCGCAGCCCGATCCAATATATATATCATTGCGGCGTGCAGCCCAATCCATATAAGTATCGCTACGGCGTGCAGCCCGACCCATAATTCATACATATATAAATATTCTCACCATTAGGTTCTCAACCTCTCTCAGTCATTAACCTCACAGCCTCTCGGGCACAACAGTAGAAATTAGGGAACTCAGTCCAAACAGTCCTCACATTTAAGAAGTAGAGTGATAAAACCAATTTTAAACAATAAACAGGTAAAACATGATTGAGAATATGTTTTCAAACAAGTAGAGAGGAAAAACAATAAAAATGCCCCTAAGGGTCTCAACAGGTCGGCACAAGCCCCCAGACATGGCATACAGCCCATAATATAGTATAATGACTAAAGTACGGAATATCATACGGTTTCAAATCAAATACGTGGCTTAATAGCCGCTACGGGACGAACCAAGTCGCAGTCCCTACCGGTGCATGCCCACACGCTCGTCACCTAGCATGTGTGTCACCGCATTTATAAACACAATTCAAATACCGGGGTTCTTGTACCCTCAGTTTCAGATTTACAATGGTTACTTAGCTCAAACCGGATGAAAACACTACTCCGCGATGCCTTTGCCTCTCGCCTCGGCCTTAACTCGTGTCGAATCTACCCAAAATCAGAATCATAACATTAGAATAGGCTAAAGGGACGAAGCCCATGCGAAATAAATCAAATCATACCAAAAATATCGAAATTGTCCAAAGCCGACCCTAGGGCCCACGTCTCGAAACTTGAAAAAAATCACATCAACGGAATCCTTATCCTTCCACGAGTCCATACATACCAAGAACACTAAAATCGGAGTCCAAATGACCCCTCAAATTCCCATTTTAAAGTCTCTTAATCTCAAACCCTAATCCCCAATTTTCTTCCTTAATCTCCACTAATACCATGATTAAACAATGGAAAAATAATCATAAACTCAATAATGAAGCTCAGGGAACTTACCCAACTGATTCCCATCGATCTTCCCTTGAAATCACTGCCCTAGCTCGCTTCCCGTCTTCAAAAATGGAGAACTTAGCAAAATTTCGCGAAGGAAACAATATATACCTTCTGGCCCAGAGATTACACACTTGCGGCCCAGATACCGCTTCTGCAGTACCGCATTTGCGATCAATGAGCCGCTTCTGCGGCTTTCACTTAAAAGTCCAAAATCGCATCTGCGACCAAGTAGCCGCATCTGCACCATCGCAGGTGCATTCAGCCCACCGCATCTGCGGCTCCTGCCCTTCTCCTCCTTGACCGCTTCTGCGGTCCTTTCCTTGCATCTACGGCATCGCACCTACGGTCCCCAATCCGCAGGATCGCAGGTGTGGAAACAACACAAGCAGCAAATACTGCAACTTCACTAAAATTTCCAATTCACCGTCAACCATACGAAAACACCCCGAGGCCCCCGAGACCTCAACCAAAAGCACAAACATAAC